AAAAAAATTATACACATTTTACATAAAAATGAAGGAAATAGTAAAATTTTTATTGTATTACATATAGTAAGTAAAGGTGAAGATGTCACGTGTATAGAGTAAGTTAAAAGCCCATCCCTTAGAGATGGCATCATCTAATCAGTTCATCTTCAGAGTGGCTTTTTATCTAAAGAAGAGAGGATGATGTAGACAGAAGATGATAATGATGACTTCCGAAGTTAAGGGAGAAGAGATGGAGATCAGAGAACTTCAACACTGTAAGGAACCTTCAAGACTATGGTTAACCCTTCTGGTTTTCAGGCATGGGAGGCAGAAACTAGAGAAGTGAGTCGGCCAGTGTGAAAAAGTTAGGTCAGAGGACAGGAATCCCAGTGCCCTAATCCCTTGCCCTGCCCATCCCACCTGTTGTGGAGGCAGCCACAACAGCATGTTTACTTCCACCCTGCCTCCTGGTTCTCAGGGAACCAGTGAATCCTGAGGTTCTTGACTTCCTTCCTAGATCAGCTCTGGACTCACTCCTTTCTCCCTCTGAACCACCCTCCTGCCCTCGATGTCTCTGGGTCTTCATCGTCCCCATTTTCTAGCCACTCATTGGGACTTCCCTACCTTGGGCCATGGTGGCTGGCTGCTGCTGGCTCCAGGGCTGCTCCCCCACAGACAGCTGGATGGACTGGAGCTTCAGGAAACTGATCCTGGAATGTCTGCTTCCCCTTCCATCCCAAGGCTCCAAGAGGCACGGGGAGGTGGGGCCAGTGGCTGCGCTGCCACCTCTGACAGGGCAGATCACAACTGGTTTTCTCACTCGCCCTCTGGTTTTTCTTGGCAGTGTTGCTTGGCTGAGAGGAGGTGTGGAAGCTGTGGAACCATCAGGGCCTTTGTGCTATTGGGCCTTGGTAGCTCTTAGGCAATAGGGCCATGGTAAGGGAGCCAGGAGAAACTGGGGAACGGATGAGGCATTCACAGGGATGGAGGGAACTGTGCTTCTGCAGGAAGGACTGTCAGGGTCCTAGACTATCGCTCACACCTAAGAGAGCCTCCATGAGTGCTTGAGACCTCTCTTTCTGGAGTTTAAGTGCAAACAGAACCTACTCCAGATCATCCTTAGTATGACTTTTTTTTTTTTCCTGGCAATGGTACTGTTTTAAGTGAGACCTTCCAAGCTCACAGTGAATCTCAAGTAAAATTAGCAGAGCTAGAGCTGGAGAGAAGGCCCAGGGGTTAAGAGCATGGGCTATTCTTCCAAAGGACCTGAGTTTGAGTCCCAGCACTACATGGGGGACTCACAACTGTTTTTAATGCTAGTTCCAGGGACTCTGATGCCCTCCCTCTTCTGGCCTCCTGCAGGCATCAGGCATGCACATGGCGCACAGAGAAGCATGCAGGCTCTCATACATACACATAAAAAGAAAGGCAAGATGATAAGGTAGCTTCGTGGAAGAGCCATTGCCCTGCAATACCCAAGGTTCTCCAGGGAGAGAAATGGGGCGTGGGGGGTGGGGGGCTTGTATTAAGGAGCAAGGCAGAGAGGGAGAACACTGGAGAAGGAGCCTGTGTGAAGAGTAGGTGGGAAACTCACCCACTCTGTCTTCCTCACCAGGAGTTACCTCTTCCTGTGTCCCCCGATTCCGGGTCCTCAGAGGCTCCTGTCCACTTGTGTCATTGTCTCTCCTGTGTTTTCAATCCTCTAATAGCTTTCATGGTGCACGGATGCACTAGAGCTCTCGGAGGTTGTTGGTGTGTTGCTGTGCTGGGGAATGGACCCAGGGCCTCCTGCTCGCTAAGTGAACACCTTGCCAAAGGGCACACCTACAGCCCCAACTCACTAACACCCGCATCCACCTTCAATCCTCGACCTCCTTTAAACCGTTGGCCCCTCTAGCTCAGACCTCCGTCCTCTAGTCTACTGCCTTGTTTCTCACCCACTTTTCACCTCCGTTCCATTTACTCCCGTCCCCGGGCCCCCAACACCATTCTCATCTGCCAGGAACCCTTTCCTGCTCTTTGTTTCCCCTGGAGACAGGGTTTCTCTGTGTAGTTTTGGTGCCTGTCCTGGATCTCGCTCTGTAGACCAGGCTGGCCTCGAACTCACAGAGATTCACCTGCCTCTGCCTCCTGAGTGCTGAGATTAAAGGTGTACGCCACCACGGCCCGGCTCCTTTCCTGCTCTTATCTTGAGGGACCTTCTACAATTCAGGCCCTTCTCTTGTTTAAGAAATTCCCCTTTCCCTTTCTCTCTACCCCCCTACTCTCTCTCTCTCTCTGTCTCTCTCTCTGTCTCTCTGTCTCTCTCCCTCTCTCTGTCTCTCCCTCTCTCCCTCTCTCCCTCTCTCTGTCTCTGTCTCTCCCCCTCTCTCTCCTGTTCTCTCTCCCCACTTTCATCCCTCTTTGTATTCTCCTACACCCCATCCAGTCTGTCATTTTCTTCTCACACCCACCTGCAGACTCTTCACTCCCACGCTGGTGCTTTCCAGGGATGTCTCAGGGGTTCACCCATTCTCCCTCCACTCCCCCCTCATGGACTCGGGTGACCCCCAGAACTGTGGCCTGCACTCCCCTCTTCTTTGACAACTTTTGACACTTCACACTCCGTGTGCCCAAATGATTCCTTGGCCCCTTGCTCTCAACCTACCTGCCTTTTCTCCTCGGTTTCTGATCGTGGTGAGTGAGGATACGACACCCAGGCAATAAAGGTGAAATCTGGGCCATTTCTCCTCTTCTTACCTCTCTTTAGCTCATCAGTCCAGTTCAAACCCTGATTAGCACCTAGAATTGGCTCTTCCTCTCTGTGTCCCTCAGCTCTGCCTTCACTGAAACACCGGCTCGTCCGGACAACCACTCCTAACCAACTCCCCCGCCTCCTTTCTCGGGACTCAGCACTACTGATTTTTCAACAGTTTTTGAAATTATAATTCCATTATTTCCTCTCTTCTCTTTCCTCTCTCCATCCCTTCCCATGTACTCCTCTGTCCCAACGTGCTCTATCCCAAATCCAGGGCCTTTGTGTCTTACCACTGATTTTTCTAAAGAGTCAATTCAAACAAATAGTTCCTCTGCTTAGGATCCAAAAGGGTATGAATTCTGAACTTCCCAACATCACCCTAAGAACCTTTGAGGTTCATCTTTCTCTTCCCACATGGAGACCAAGTATGCCAACCCCTTCAGTTCTCTGATGGAGACCTCTCCTTCACATCTCCGTGTGGGCTCTCCCCCCTCCCCCTCTCTCCCGAATGATCTCTTTTTCTGAAATGCTCTCTGTCTGTCTACTTGTCTCCAGGTTAGAGCATCACCCTGCTAAGAAGCCTTCCTAACATTCTACACCAAACTGGGAGTTAGGGGCTTGTCATCCCTAAACCAAAACATTTCTCCATATGATAATTATTAACGCCATTGCCAGTGATTAATAATGACGGTAGACAATAGTAGTACTACTACCACTAATGCAATCATTTTTTAGTACTAGATATTAGTTTAAATTCTTGTGTGATTATCCCTCTTAGTCTCACATCTCTATGAATCAGGAGGGTGTTTTCTTAGATTGGTTGACTGATTGACTGTTTAACTTGAGACATGGTTCCACTATGTCGCCCTATCTGACTGACCTCTTGCTATGTAGACCAGGCTGGCTTCAAACCCACAGAGATCGTCTTGCCTCTGCCTTCCAAGCTGGAATTAAAAACTGGACATATGCCACTATTTTCAGTCCAAAGATTTATCTATTTTAATGTGCATGAATGTTTTGCCTTCATGTATATCTGTGTACCACATATATGAAGTATCTTTGCAGACCAAGAGAGGGTTTCAGACCCCCTGGATCTGGAGTTACAGCTGGTTGTGAGCTACCATGAGGGTGCTGGGAACTGAACCTGGGTCTTCTGAAATAGCAGCAAGTGATCTTAACTGTTGAGCCACCTCTCAGTTCCCTGTGAATTAGGAGTTCTTGCTGATCTTATATAGCAAATGAGGAAATCAAGGCATTTGCTTTCCCAAAGCTCCTTGCAAAGAACTACTAGGCTAGCCTTGGAATGCAGCAGAACTCCAGAGCATTGTAACTCTAAATGTTTAATGCAGTATCTAAAATGTGTATGTATGTTTTCAGAACTCACCGTTTGGTATTCGATAACCAATTGGTGTGCTCTTCCCTAGGGAAGAGTGTTTCTCCCCTTCTTAGCATTCCTTAGCTGCCCCTTGCTCTTTGTGTAGGGGTGAGACCTGTGCTCTGCCCCTCACTCTTTGTGTAGGGGTGAGACCTGTGCTCTACCCCTCACTCTTTGTGTAGGGGTGAGACCTGTGCTCTGCCCCTCGCTCTGTTGTCGTCGTCCCCCCCCCACTTTAGCTGTCTTTTGTTGTTGCCCTTGTTCGGCTGATGTTTTAAGATGAGTATGTGTGCTCAGCAGTCCCAGGCAAAGGTGTGGTCCCATCGTCTCCACTCCGAGTCCCTCCAGCAGGTAGTCAGAACTGTGTGACATATCCTTCCTCACTGGCTGGTGCCAGGATTCAGCCTTTTCTTTCTCCTAGCATAGGATTCCTGGAGACAGTCCAATTCCTTGGATTCACTGTTTCAAAAATCTGATAACCAAAGGGAGGGACACAAGTGTCTTTAAGAATATCTTCATTCCTGCCAGGACAGTTATAATCCCTGGAGCAGAGGACAGGGCATCCACATCTGTCCTCCCCAGAGGACTTGTCACGGTCAGGACCACTCTGAGACTGGTGTCCGGCAGCCACGGACAGGAGAAGGAGGTGGAAGTACCACAGGAAGCAACTCCTTTGCAGGACTCCTGCCGCTCCAGAGAGCTGTTCATTTGCTCCCCCAATAAATCTTGCTATGTGCCCTTCTAAAAAAGAAAGAAATCAACAAAAGAAAAAAGGGGGAAGGCTGGAGGGGGGGCAGTTAAAGAGCACTGGCTGCTCTTCCAGAGTACCCAGGTTTGGTTCCCAGCACCTACGTGGTACCTCACAACCATCTGAAACTCCAGTTCCAAGAGAGCTGATGTCCTCCTCTGGCCTTTGCAGGCACTAGGCATGGCATGCACATAGTACACAGACATGCATGCAGGCAACACCCCCTTACACATACAATTTTAAAAATAAAAATAAAAGAAGGAGGGCTGGACAGATGGCTCAGAGGTTAAGAGCACTGACTGCTCTTTCAGAGGTCCTGAGTTCAGTTCCCAGCACCCACATGGTGGCTCACAACCATCTGTAATGAGATCTGGTGCCCTCTTCTGTGTACATAATAAATAAATAAATCTTTTTTTAAAAAAAGAAAGAAGGAAAGAAAAGAAAGAAAGAAAGAAAGAAAGAAAGAAAGAAAGAAAGAAAGAAAAAGAAAGAAAGAAAGAAAGAAAAGAATCACAAGGGCACAAAGCTCATTTGGGACCAGGAAACCAACAGTGACTCTTTTGCCTGAACCTTGGTGTCTGAATAAGTCCTGGGCTCTGAGCCCAAGGAGGTGACTTACAGGTTTGGCCTTCTAGTCCTACAGACCATTAGTCACAGGGTGTGGGGGAAGTGTGGGGAGGCAGGGAGGTAGTTCTGATCACGACAGGATGCCCCTTGTTCAGAGAGGCTGGGCAAGATCTGTGAGCATCACCTTACTTTCCTATCTGGACCGAA